GTTCCATCGTAGTTATCTGTCGTCGCTCTGAAGTTTCATCATTACAGTTTATCTCCTATAATCAACAACAGTACTGTTCCTCTACTCTCGACTACGTCGTTTCCGTAGTTCTTTCTTTGTCCAGACTGTTATAATACATATACATGTATGTGCAAACTTAGTAAAACAGGTTACTAGGCAGAGATAATATATGGGATCAGCATTCAATAAAGCGATTCGTTGTATGTATTACGTGTCAGTTAAACAATAGGCCAAAGGCATCCGTAATTTGAAAGGGCGTACATATTTGCGTATCTTGCCGGATAAATCAAAGTCTCACTATCATTTAGTCCGTGGAAGCGAGGGCTCAGATATACGTCTGGCGTCTATTAGTCATAGTAAGGCGCGTGACAAATGAGCGGGTTACTAGTTTGGGTTATTTTTATTTGATGAGTCCGTTTATTGCCTCTAAAAACCTCGCGCAAAAAGTATGTGAAAAATGAAGTAAATAGAAATTAGCTAATGATAAAGTTCTTATGGGAGCAAACTGGCTCAAAGCAATGCATTTCTTAGATAAAATCGACCTTTAAAAGGCCCATCATTTCCGGTATGATTTTTTTCTTTAATCGTGCTACATTAAGATGTGAGGGGCAAAATGAGTGGAAGACAGAAGATTTAGTTGTTGAGTGCGGAGCGTATGTATGCGATTTGTTTACGCAGAGAAGATGTTACCAAACAGGGCCACGATTGGTCAAGCTGCTACGAATGCCACAATTGTTAGCGTACAATAATTTACGTTCTGGACTTGAAGCAAAACAATTACGACGGCATGATCCATAATTTATAAGCCACTAGCTGGAATCCCCCTTTTTCCGTGCCATGAACATGCTGTACAAACATCTATTAAGATTATTACGTTTTCAACGGGAAAAAGCTCTTTATTTCAACACAAATTGTCAAGACAAGGCCAAAGTCAGAAGAACCACAATAAACGTCGTATCCGTTGGCCGAACTAATTTTTAGTTGATTATGTCGGTCTCAATTAGGTCCACTGCAAACGGCTGTAGCTGAAACCTACTTATACGTAGAACGGCCTCTTGAAGTAGAAACTAAGCAATATTTTATTAGAAGCGGGTGGCACGGGGGCAACCGATAATTCAAAAAACAAAAGCACGCACTTATCAGGCACTCGTATCGAGTGGCTGTGACCATCCGTTATTGTGGTCTGAGTAACGAGTAGAAGAATCATGTCACAAATGTATGCGATGATGATGCTTTCCAGCCGAGAATTCAAACACGTAGAATATCTCACCTACAATCTAAGCTAACCTTTTTTTCCTTCGCATAGACTTTTTCTACCTTTTTTTGAACGCAATGTTCGAAGCAGAGCTCGGATTCGAGCAGGTATCTATTAGATACACGCATAAACTAACCAATCGCCTCTCCTTAATTGCCATCGGTCTGTTCTTCACGAGTAAGTCGGATCAACGAAAAAAAATTGATACAGATCCATGGGTTTGCCCAACGAATAACAATAGTTATTGTGCTATTCTTTAGGAGTTCGGATCGTAGTTATGATTAACTTCATCGCAGGCTTTTTTATCGCTTAGCGAATTGTGTTGCGGACAAGCAGGCGTACAAAGCACGTAAAGAACGTATATACGTTTCAATAAGGCTTTCTGAGCCTTATTGAAAACGTAAAATTAAGGTCACAATCGGACATTTAATACTTTAATTAACGGCTTTTTGCGTATAAGTGGATGGCAATCAGAACAGTCTCTGTATTTAAGTAAGTTTCGATCGACTCGTAAGGTATTATAAATGGGGTGGTTATAAGTCCATTGAAGCTTGAACCGGACCCGGACCATCAATCGGCCTTCGAGATTTAATTTCCTATATAGATTACATATATGCTCTGAAGAGTCAAACAATTAGCGAAAGTGGGTCTTGTATGCTGACGTCACAGCGAAGTATATTCCTGTATTCGATAAGCACTAGTGATTCTTTGCCGTATCACGGATTATTTTTTCATTCTCAACTAGTTTTTATTGCAGATTGCAAAAAAAAAAAAGTAAAATGCAACATATGACAGGATATTACGACGTTCACAATACCTAAAACTTGAACTATATTCTTTCAAACAACTAAGATGCAATCGTTACTACAAAGTGGACTCTAATCTGAAAATATTTTAAAAATTCAGTCTAGCAAAAAAAATTCATTTAAGAGCATTGCTGAAAAATCCATTGAAGGTCCACATATAGATATCATAGTTTGCTGAAAATTGCTTAGCCTAAATTTACATGCACTTACGCAAGTGTTACCCAGACCCAGCGCTACGTGGAGCACTTCAATACACAATTTGTGTTCCTATTGACACGTAGCCAGCAAAAATCGGGTAACTAGAAAAGGGCTGATCCGATTGATGCCTAAGGTCACCAACTACGAAAGGTTTTACACTTAAGCCATTTTCTGTGCTATGTATTTATTGACAAAGATTCCGCGACCAGGAAAACTTGTTGCAAAAACTACGCCCTTCACTAATTTTCAAAAAATTCTTTTCTTTTTTTGTGAAATAAATTTTCTGTGCTAGATCGTATCCTGTAATAAACATACACCCAGATGGATCGCACTGGAAATTCTAGAACAGATTTCAAGGAACGTTTTGAAGTAACTTAGTGTAAATCTTACCTCAGACAAGTGAGTATTTGACTCCTGTACGTTTTGTTTCAACTTGGCTCTCTCTACAGTAGGTCTAATTTATCGAGTGGAAAATCTAATTGCATTCATTCACTAGCACGTCTCGATCCCTATCTAATTTAGGATATCCGTTCATTAGGGTACGAAATTTACACAGGAAATGCAACAGTCCGAAGCTTACAGTGTCTCAATATTTCTATCAGGAAAGCATTTGAGTGGAGCTTAAAGAAGCTCATCCTCCTGCGTAAGAAGCATATCCTCACATAATAACAGGAAACTTTTTATGGATTAACGTTACTAGTACAGAGGGAGCAGTGACTGAAAGGGATTAAGCTATCGTAAATTGCGCATTGCACCGTCATCAGTAATAATTGACATTGTACGCATGGTAGGCCTACAAGACATTATCTAGTAGTCGAAGTCACTGGTAATCACAGTCACACAGTACGACGAAAGAGGAAACTTCTATACGGGTAGTATTCCCTAACTAACATTGTATTGTGCAAACTAGCAGGCCCCCGTTATAAGCAGGCCTGACTTCGGCTCGGCTTACGAGCGTGCACAGTACGTGAAGTAGAAATACGCTGTTACCTAAAGAAGCATTGAGTAACGTGGGCACTGCATAGGTGAATGCACACTCGTCACGTTTTTATTAATGTGCGTTCTGGAGGCATTGTTTTCATTAACTCGTATTTAGTCGTTCCGCCAACGATATATCCTATACAATTCATGTGAACTAAATAAGTTATCGATTCATGTGTGAGTGGTTACTCTGTCTTTATATCCCCTGGGTAGAAGATAGTGGCATGTGCAAGGTCACGGTATGTGGTATTTTCGTGCAGTCGGCCGTTGATACGCAGGCTCATGGCCCAATAGCACGTTGAGCAATGCTACTTTGCCTACTAATAGTGGCTCTAGAAATAGGTGCAAAAAATGTAGTTCCCAAATTCAGAAGGTGTCATGCCTTGGTAAAAGGGTTATTTTCATTAGGTTATAGTATATCTAAGCTTTGTAATATAAGCCGTTCAACTGCTTTCGAGGTTAGTTTGTATCTTGTAACTAGTATGTGTTTGTACATTATTCTGTGAATGAATGTTTGCAATTTGTTTTTAAATCTACGTATTTCCTTGGCATGATCAGTTAATTAGAAAAGAGCTAAAGGCTCTAAAAAAGTGGCACACCGTACGAGTACGCCCATGTTATGTCTTAGACGCTCGGTGTGTATTATTTTTGTATATATTACCTAGTAACTGTTGTTTTTGTTTTACTTTTGTATTTTCTAACACTGCTTCGAAAGCACTCAACGCATTAAATACAAGAATAAGACAAAAATCAATTTCAACGCTAAATCGTGAATAACGTTTGAAAAGAATGGAGTGCCACTTTCAAACAAGTATTATTCTATAAAACCAGTGGCCATTAAGGATAAGACGTAGTTGATGAAACGGGCTGCGTTTATTAGAAAGCATATGCGCTAACCCCTTTGTGTGCCCGTCGAAGGGCGGCAATTTTATGTTGACGTGATAACCATGATCAATTGGTCTATGGCGGCAGGTTTAAACTCTGCTTTTCAGCATCGAAAATCCCCTTCCGACAGGTTTTATCTAAATATTTTTTCAAACACTCTGATTGCAGTCTTCCCCTGTTGAAACATACCCAAACTCGAAGAAGCGCTGCCTAGCGCATAAGTCAGGGTCCTTCCATGTGAGTCGTAGCGAACTGGCGAACGTTTCAACAAAACTACGCCGAGAAAGCCGCCAGACTCCCAGTTGCTATTGTTATATCTGATGGAAAAATGGCTACAGTAGAAAATACGCTATCTTTATAATATTCCTTACAAGGTTTCTTCCCTTTACACACACACACACACACATATATATATATATATATATATATATAGAGAATGAAACACTCGTAATTTTAAACACGTATTCACTAAAAGTCATGTCCACGTCATAGTGGGTTACATCTGCAAAAAAGTCTGGGTATTTTGAGTTGAACCAGATAGTGGTTACGTATTTGACGGACTCCGTTTAAGGTTTGTCTATACACCTATATTGTTTTCAACCAAAAGTTAATCTGGAGAAAGGCTAAATGCATCTTACTTGTTTTGATTCTGTTACTCGGATACCCATCTGAGAGTATGTATCTTGAAATCCTATCGGCTTTAGGCCACTCTTTTTTGTTTCTATCTATCATACGATATCATGTTTTTTACTTCACGCAAAGCTAAAGAATTACAAATAAAGTGACGCAGCTAAACTTGACAAACAAAATACTCGCTCAGGCCGAGAGAATTCTTACACAACGTACCCCTTTATTATCACCTATTTCCGTTTCGAATCCCAAAGCATTCATGGAGACAAGGTCAGCTCATGATGGATAAACCATACCGAAGTTCTTTGAGTCCCAAAGTTCTAATTAATTTTACAAAATTCAATTCACCTGTTATATACTGAATAAACGATTTCTACCTAAGCGACAATTTGTGTGCGACAAACATGTGATTGTATACTCGTTCTTCCTTGAACAAAAAGCCATTGGATCGTGCACTGCACAGCTGTAACGTAGTTAAAAATGCACGACTACGTTTTTTTAAATCTTCTGTTCGGCAATATATATATATATATATATATATATATAGCACGACAGACAGGTTCAATTCAGTGAAATTCATCAATGAGCCCCTATTGTTCCATTTTATGGGCCTCAAGCAACCTATATATCCGTCTATAACAGTGACAAGTGAGATGCCGGCCGAAACTCGAGGAAATGTTTAAAATACAGAAGTTCGATTAGTTAATGATAGCTAAACTAGAAACACGAAAAAGCTGATCAAAACAAGCACCGGTAGGGTAAACAAGTGTACATTCAGCACGTTCTTGTGAAGCAGCTAGTCCAGCACATCACTACTTCAACGTGAAGCCTCGCATACGCAAGTGCATGAACGTCTTGACGAAGAAAACGCTAGAAATCTTGTGGCACCGTCGAATAGACTTGGAAGAGAGCTGTTTAGGAATTGGCGAATATGTCCGCTTAGAGTTGCCTGTTAAATGCTAGTTATTTCTAATGGTATCTAACTCTGACTCAGCTAATCTTTGGCTAAAACACAGCCTGACTAGAATTGTTACAATTTTTATTCGGTAATCGTTATTGTATTATGACGTCATTGTACATTTAGCTTTTACGGTATATACGACGTTCATACCACTAACACCCACTGAGTAAAAAATCTCCCACACATTTCCTCCTTTAATATGGTGCATCGTTTAATCTAAATTGAATATTATGTGTAGTAGACGATCTGACATTATTCCAAGGTTTTCCTGTATAGGTGTTCCGTACTTTATTTTTAGTTAAACTTACAATAAGCTCTTACTAGGCCCAAATGTATCTTCGTCTACAGATGTGTTCAAATCGCAGCAGTAGGGCATAATACGGCTGATTTTCATAATCGCAAAATAGAATCGAGTTCTTTTTACCTGCTCAATCTAACCTCAGGCTTTATCTGAACCTGAACGAGAATTAAATGGCTTGAATGTTACCTTAATTCACGTAGACGATTTACCTAAAGCACACAATAAATCAGGTCTTTCTTCCCTTCATGTCATTCCCTTTTCACGGTCTAGATGTAAAGTAAACATTTCTTCGCTGTGCCTTTTTTTACAAATCTGTCTATATTTTCTTATAGCATTTCACTAAATATCCGGTCTTATTGGCAGTTGATTAACCCTACTGTTTTGATTTTCAGCTGCACCATTTCAGAAGACGGAATGGAAAAATTCTCGGAAATCCATTGCGGTTTTAAGCTAATAACATTTTTTCCTGATGCAGCAAATATAGCGTTTCTCCTTTCTACTTGGGTTTCCTTCAGACTCGTTATTCCACCTCCCTCTGACGGCTGTCCTTTCCACGCTGTTTGCCATCTGAACGACGAGAAATACCTCCTTCTCACGGGATGCAGACATCTACTACGAAAGTACATAGATTCATCTGTACAGCACGTAACAGTGTTTCTTCGGCCGTGAGTAAAGCATGCTTTCCGTTCTTGATGCGACTTCGTCTAAAATGATCATCATCATTATCATCATCATCATTAATGCTTTTTCCCTCATAAACGTAAATCTTAAGTCGGATATGCAATATTCTGAACGCTGGACTGGGTGGCGGTCAGTACCTGTACCCCTCCTTATATGTGTAAACATTTATCAGCAGACGAGATACACGTCAGCTTCCACTCGTAACGTCGTTTAACACCTCTATCTAACATTTCCACGTGCCGTCATAAATACAGTCATTGTACCGCCGCCGACTAGCGTCATCAGCCATCACTATCATTATTAGTATATATATATATATATATGATCACATTTATGTACAAAACATCTCAAAGCAGTTATTTTTATGCATTTGTTGCGTTGGTTGAAATTAAGCTTAAGTTGAAACTGTGTGTGTCATCATTCGTGCGTTTGGCCGCGTGTGTACGTAGTTTGCACGCCGGTAAAGGCGTCTCTGTCCTTTCAACTCAAAAGCTAGTCGTCATAGTTGGTATTCTTTGTGGACATTTTGATCTGACCGACTGTGAAGATAAAACAGGTCAATAGGCTCCCTGAATTCAGGATGAGGATCAGAGACAGCGTTCCTGCTTATCCGGTCTGTATCCCACGTTGTACCGTTGCCAATAGACTAAACGATAGAATTCAAACGTACGATCCGAGCAACAAATGTAAAACTGCTTGCATTGCAACGCATACGGCGACAAAACTATTGTACAGGAATGGTAAGTTCCATGCCATTGTCGTCGCACAATTCGCTGAGTCTGTAACACCAACGTCCTAATTAGCAAGCCGTACACCAGTCGAATATACGAAAAACATGAATAGTAATTGTACTATTAAGGATACTATGGAAAAAAGACAAGCGGCCTGCACATTGCCTGTTACCTATTTGTCTAACTAATAATGAACGGGCCAGACCAAGGATCCATTTATTTTACGGTGTATATTATCACAACACTACTATATATATATATATATATACATGCTGAGCATCGCTGAATGCGGAACGGGTAGAATTTTGCACACAAGAATCAAGTATATTTTAACTTTGTGAATTTCTACTACTGATAGTAAACTAAATGTAACGCTATGAAATGTTCCTATAGACAATGGAGACATCTTTTCTATAGTTAAATAAAAACTTCTGTTTTGTTATGTTTTTTCAGCGTAATTCGAAAGCGTCGCCATGTTGGCGTAATGGGTAGCGTGTTCGTCTGCTAAACTTGAAGGATAAGCTGGTCTGGGTCCTGATTCGCCGATAAAATACAGTTTGAACTAATTTGACTATTTAAACGCAAAAGTTGCTTCATGACCAAAATATAAAAATACTTATCAGTTTGCTTATATTACTCACATTGTTGACTGAGGTTGTTGTGATCGAAGACGGACAATGGGGGCGTGATCTGATGATGACCATTGTTAACGTTCCTTTGTCCGTGGCCATTTTGTGATCCGTGTGGCCTGTGGCCTTGAAAGTCTATTGGATGTATAACTCCCGGGATGGCACTGTGATGCACAGCATGTGGCCTCTCCGGGCCTTCTACCTCCACGATGCACTTCAGCTGTAGCTGGTCATGCCGGAAATGTGCTGAACGAACTTTATATGAAGACGAATTAATAGCGAATTTTATGATCCGAAAAGGAGCAAAGAAATATGCCCCAAAAAATAGCCAGCGGAAAGAGCGTAAGTTGAGAACCGATGGCTCGAACGTTAACATCTATTAAAGAAGTGATTACTAATCAAGATAATTATTATGATGACGAGTTATTCCTGCCAATAATAATTTAGGTGGCAAAACTTAGAAATTGCTAAGTAATTTTATTTAGTAATTTATAAATAACAAAAACTCCATATTATTATTACGCTTTAGCATTATGCGGTGTTACACCTATCCTACCAGATACCTAAAAATATGCGATTGTTTTCGATACCAACTTGATGTGAGGCTAAAAATCAGACTAAGGAGGATGAGCTTACCGGTAAACCTAAGACCGAGCGCGGTCCGATATCTGCCTAATTCGTCTTTTTCTGGTTGATAGTGTACAAGGTACTTGTGATGAACCTCTTCGTCGTTGAGTAACCAGGTCATTGAAACCGGCTTGCCTTGACGTGCATATATGCACGTTACATTCATTGTATCTCCAACGTGGTAATGCGTTTGACCCCCGTATATAACCGGACCGTCATCTGGAACTTCTGGGACGATCGTATTGGGTGACGTTGCAAAAGAAAAATCAAAAGGCGTATTGATCGCATAACTATTCGAAGTAGACTTTTCCGCTTGAAATTGCGCCACACTGCATAATGTGTTACTTATAACTAAGAGCTATTTTACCTTCTCGATACGATTTCGTATCGGTTCCAATGACAATCTTCTCGCTGCTTTGAGAGAATGTTTCGGAAACCGTAACCATACATTTAAGCTTCATGACCCCGTTATGGTCGAAATGTCTCCGGGCAACACGAAAGGTCAGGCCCAGCTTTGACTTCATCAGGCCGTGTTCACGGGCTACGGGATAGGTTACCTGTGCGGCGTCGTCTTCTTCCGATGGCTGAAATTTATTAACAACGTATAATAAAGGATAACGCAGCGAATATCCGTACAAACACAAGCTTTAAATAACTATTACACAGCCACAGACACTGTCGTTAATGTTAGTGCACCAAATGCCAACCTCGAGGTGGGCGTTTTCTGAAGCGTACAATGCCAGACCGCTTATCGGTTTTTAATCCTCAAGTTTCTTTGGATTCCCTTAAGTTTCTTAGACGATGCCCAAATAAGTGAAACAAAAATGATAAAGCCAGGGTACGCATTCACCAGAATTCGTACTGGTGCCGCTACAATCCCTAGTTTCGGTAACAAAACACACGCGTTGCACAAGGTCAAGGAATATTTTCAACAGTATACTCAACTGCACAATAATAGGAACGGACCCCTGACAACATCCGACATACGTCAGAGTTCTTATTTAATATCGAAGACATAGTAATCAACAGGGGCCTTTACCTTCCAGACTCAATTTAATTAGGAATTCGCTCCCGTAACAATTACTCTGTGCTGAATCGGCACACAGTCGTCGCCATCGCTTACTATACAACAACTTCCTATAGCGAGAAATGTTTTGTGCGGTGCTTCTCATAGCGGGTTGTTTCTTGGGCGTGACCTAGTATAACAAATAAGCGTTTCGAGCTTTACCTCTAGAGCTGCACTAGGATTGCACCAGATGCGCGTTAAAATCACTAGCGCGTCTCAATTCCTATTCAACAACCCACCTGAAAGGGTGGAATGGTCGTCCGAGTTCCTACAAAGGCCTAATCTTAAAATGATAATGGGTCTGAGATATATGGATAATAAGAGTGGTATGCAAATAAGCGACAATAGTATAATAACAGCGAACGTCGCTTAGTCTTCGATTCCGAATGAGTATTGAAGTTTACAGAGAGTGGGTTAATTATATGCTTCGAGAAGCTCGAGAGCCTGAGGAAGCAATTTGTACATTGATTCTTAATTAAGCTTGATGAACGCATTTGGCCCTGGCATCTCTTAGCAGTATATAGCTATTCCCCTAGTTGGCGAGGCAGCGATTTTAGGTGGTGGCAGCTGTCGACAAAGTCGTATATTTCAAATCTTTCCTGGAATACACTCTATTGCTTACGGTGTCAACTAACCTAGCCGTTCTGAAGTTTTTCTGAACTTTTATGCGCCGTGCTCCTACTATAAAAACTGTAACTTTGTTTGTAGCTACATGGTTGAGATCAATGAGCTCTGCAGTATACTTACTGGCAAATGACGCATTTGTGGACGAACGGAGCGAAATGAACAGTGATGCAGAGCGGTAACTTATTCGGGAGGGTGCCACCAGCTTGAACGACTTGGTCATATTTCATAGTGGAATCTTACATCTTTTGTCGTGTAAATGGACGGTATACTCCGTTGCGAAGGCCTTTGGTCGGGTCAATGTTGACAATAAGTATTGAACAATAGATATTCCACGATCCATAGAGTATTGAAAATTTCCGAAAGCAGTCATCATTCGAGTATCCGTGTGTCTGCTTGCTGATCAGCATAAATGTAGCGCAAAGATGTTGGAAATGGATAAATTGTATTGTGATACTATTTTTAAAAGCCATCATCACGTTTGGGGATGAACATGTTACTCTAATCTTATTGTGTTTAATTAGTTGACTCAGTAAAGGATCCTCTTCCATTAGCCCCTCTGGTCTGAAACAGACTCTTCTATACAAAGCACGTCCTTACGTATTGTGGAAAATCGAATCGTTTTCAAGTAAAAAGAGATGTTAGACTGCCATTACTATGTTTCAGAATACGTATTCACTGGTACGAAACTTCAGATCGGCTATTGACTGTCGTCTATTATACTGACCGAGATAGTTCGCATTCCCTCTTCCGTTTCGTAAGCGCCAGATCTTTGCCGTTGCAATGGCTAGTTTAAGCCGATTAGTAGATATCCCTAGTAACATTTTCAGACGTTCGAACGCAAGAATTGGTTTCCTTTTAAATTTTGATGCTGTAATGGGTAAATGCGTCATCGAAGAGGAGAAAAGATTATGTCAAGTTCCGATTTCACACTTTCGTCCGATGTATATGGCTCAAGACGTCGGTCTGTCCCTTTACCCACTAAACCGCTAACCATGGGCTTTTTGTACAAGTTCACAGAATATCACGTGCTTATGATCATGTAAACTTTGTCTCTGTTTCACCCGAACTTTTCGTTTACTTGTGACATTACATCAAAGGCTCGAGCGACGTACCGCGCCTCTCCTTGTGTACGTGGCTAATTTTTTCATGTCTGTCTTTACTTCTTGCTCTAACTATACATCTTATCCAAGGACTACAATTTATCCTGTTCACCTGTTCGATTTCCCCGCTTCAGGTTTCCTTTGAGCTATGCGATTCTCTTAAGGTATCTTAGTCCCCGTCGCCAAATATCTTTTGATATCAGCATCTTCTCTGCAATCGGCTTAACTAACGTAGTTTTGGTAATCTGTGTCCGTTCAGCCGAATCTTCCGAACACTTTGGCCCGTCTGCTTTTCTAGAGTCGCACTGAACGCTGATCTGAACTGAGGTTTCGCTCTGTGCCGCTCTGTAGCTTGGGCTGCATTGGCCACCCCATACGCAATAGCATAGACACCCTATATATACCCGAACAGAGGCCGAGAAATGTACGCCCTCGGCTTCGTAATCACACAACTTCCATTTATGTACTTTTGACTATGTCAGAATGTTGACAACTTATTTTTACACCTCCACTTATGAGCAATAACCATTCGTATAATATCCATAAGTGTAGTTGTCCTTAAATTAGTGCTTTAACGATACTTTGATACTTGTCGCTACATAAATATACCCAAATGTTTTGAGCGCAACTTATATTCACAAGATAGAATTTTTTTATAAGATGAAATATGACATCAAGTTTTCGCATGCTTTTTTTGTCATATGCGTAAGGCTAGACGCAGCCTCCAGACATTAGGCGCAGCGGGTATATATAAATATGCGATACTTTGTCTGTAGCATCGAAACATCCTTACCCGGTTCATCTTTACGCCTCATCTTACCCAATATGACAAAGACTAACAACGTTTATACCATTACATTGTTATATTATGTGTCTGCTCGCCTTGGGGTATGTCCTCCACCTTAGTCTGTAAAGCAGGTTTAGTCTAGCCGTTTTTGATCCAACGCCTCTGTGCACGTACGACGTTTTTTTCGCTTTTGGCAAGACCTAGGGTAAAAATTTAAAACGGTAAGCTCTCCTGAAAAACTTCGAAGACCATATGATCTGGTAGTGCAGGCTCACGCGATACGTCGCTGCTGACAGGAGCAAGGTTTCTCGATATACTGCTCAGAAGACGAGAGCGAACGGTGACAGCCTTTGTTGAGGCCTTTAAAGGGCCAGCAGCCGGAGAACTGCGTCTATAATCACAGCAGTCTGTCATAAAGGGCATATGAGATGTATGCAAAGATAGGAGGAACTAGGAACATAGTCACGCTGCAACAACGAAAATTCTAGCGCCTTAATAGAAAGAAGCAAAATGTATAATTTTGTCACTTATTCAGTGTAGTAAAATGTCCAGTGAAAAGTTAAATAACAAGTATGTCAGGGAGTTTTTTTTTCTTATATTATTTCGTATTATGCCAATCATGCATAGTCAGCACAGGACGGTTCTTTTTGTCTATCTATTACATTATGCTACATTACACTGCAGCTCAGCGTGAAGAGTGCCTTGTCAAGATAAAAAAAAGACACATTTTTAAACAATAAATACGTTTACTAGTGATGCCATTAATATGGGACCACTAAGCGCTATATCAATCGCTTTGTTTTGAATGATTCCAGAATTCAACCGAAGCTCCTCAAGGAATTTTCGCTCGCTAAGATATCAATATTGATATAGAACATCGTGCATGCTGAAGACACTTTGTTACTGGTGTGTCGTTGAAGTTCGTCGCAGAGTAGATACGATTCGAGTGGCCAAAACGCGTACGGAACCCTCGAGTCGACGCCTTGATATTTCCGTTTAAGTCTGAAGTGAGGGGCTGGAGCAGAAAACGATCCGCGTGGTAAAATAGGTGCACTGTCATCGATGGGCTTGGAAAGCAACCACTGTAATTAGCTTTCACTGAACAAAACAAACGCGGAACTAATCGATTTGGCCTGTTTTCTATCAATGCACCCCAGAGTGGCTGTATTTCTCACAGCGGCTGCATGGTAGTAGCCTGGGTTGACTAAATTGTACCTTAAAGTCTTTGTCAGCCAAAATTAACAGGACGAAAGGAAAAAAGCGTAACACGGTCCTGTAAAGTATAATGGCTGAATAGAGCATCGCCTTCGCGAGGACACCTCGTTAGCAAAAGATACCGATGGGTACGGCGACATGCATAAGCATCAATAATAGAAGAGAGATTGCTGCTTTAGGGGCTGCGTAAGCTCATGATAAAGATATATATAATTAGAACATGTACGATGCATAACGAAATGGGTTACAATGTACATACCATTCGAGGTAATGATAGAGAAATATCTCGAGGAAAGTGATAGAACCGTATTGGTTTGTATTACCATTATTTAACAACAGAACTAATAAGAAGAAATAATGTCAGTAACTGATCAAATGCCCATTACGAGAGTCTTTTTGTCGAAAAGCTTCACTGCGTACATTTTCGAAAGATCTTCGTTCGGCCGTACGCCGTGACTATACATAGAATTACTGCGGGGACTCTATCCCTTCTAGTATAGGATCTGATACCGGTAGTACATCATATTATCTTGCCTATAGGGAGCTTTAGCATGAGATAACGAGTGAGCAATTGATGTGTTCAGAGGGAATCTAACAAAATTGAAATTTGTTAAGATGATAATTGAGTGCTACAACTTGCTAGCCGGTCGGAATACCACTCGCCGGCGCCATCATTTAGGGCTGTCAGAGTTCAACAATGAGTATGCATTGAAAATAATGATATCTGGCGGTAATTGTATTGCCAATTATTCGGAAGTTTGTTTCACTACATATCCGTTTCAGTTTATCTAAACGGCTTTAGGTGGCTTGAAGGCTAGGAAGTTATTAACACGGGAATTAGATGACCCTTTACATGTTTACAGTGTCCATCAAAGTACCATCGAAGGAAAGGGGGTTGATCATAGTATTCATAAAACGTCTCACCGAAAGGAAAAAACAAATGACTTCAGATTGAAATTTCTTCCTCATGTTAGGCGAGTCTAACTTTGAAGCTGAACAGACTCCGGAGTAGGCGGTATGAACGAACTAACTTAGCTCTAAAAAGATGAGAGCCGCAGAGACTCCAAAGTAGCGTCGCAAAGAATTTCTTACGGTGGACTGCTGATTGTAAGTCGACTAGCTAACCAGCCGCTTTGTAGACAAAAATGTTCTCAAAAAAGCTCCCTCGTCACACCAAGCTCTATCTAGACACGTGTAGGACCTCCATACGTTTTTATATATACGCATTCGTGTTTTAAAGGGCACACACTGTACATACTGTTACAAGCAAAAGAGCGCAATAGAATTTCTGGGAATAACTACGTGTAACTAACTGGCTATAGAACTCGTGCGGTCTTAGAGCTTTGGTTCTTACCTGCCGATAAAAAACTATGTCGGCCTACTTCATTCTACTGACAGTGTTGAAGTCTCCCGTTATTTGGCCGATATAGGCAAACTAATAACGAGCAAGCTTGTCTTCGAAAAACGTGGCCTAGTATGTAGTAACCACTGTACGCTATATTTGTAGGGGAACAGAAGAGACGTGCGTAACCCCGATAGCGTGGCAAATAAAGAATGTTCGATGTTGACAAAATCCAAAAGTCAAATTGTATGGGTTGATTCTCGATATCGTATAGTAGCTAAAAGTGCTTGATTTAACAGCGCGCAAGTCCATTTCATGCCAACTAAGATTTACTCTAAATATCTTACTTGAGGCTGGATTTGGAAGCTGGACGAAATATTTTGCTTGCCTTCAAACCCCAACGTCAAACAAGAAACTTTCTAATAAATAGCATTTAATTAATATCAACTTTAGGTTAGCCAAAGAACTTGATTCGACCAAACGTTGTATATACGTACGTGGTCTCCATTGATCAACCATTCGACCACTCCAGCTGGTCTTGAAGGTCCCGCATGACATGTGACGTTCACGACATCCCCGACATCATATTGAGGACGCACTCCTACAATTTCTGGACCTTTTTTCGGTAAAACTGAAATGAAGATATTGAAAAACTCGACGTAATGCCTCACTTAGTTATTCTATTCACCTTCAACTAAATGTTTTTTGTCCTTCGTGTGGAACGGTAAACAGAATTTTTTATTGAGAACACAGACTGACGGCAGTTAATTTCGTAGAGACTGGTATTCTCTCAAACGCAGAGTCACACTATCCAGGGGAATAGCTGCGTGTGGCCCAGACAGCCCGTAAGTGCTTCCCCACACCTCCTTGATAAATAATGCAATCTACAGCAGCGACGATACCCTACAATTCAAATATTGAAGGTTTTGGGTAGACAATCAATTGAACAACAAACAAATTTACATACAGTATATATATAGAAATGCTTGTCAATTTGCATCAGTCTACTCATATGTACTGTATACGACAAGTACAAAGTACCCCGATGTTATCGTATAACGGAGATTTTTTTGACAATTTTCCTTTTCTCGTATAGTGCGTTCGTACTGATATATTTATATTACCGTATATTTTGAGATCCTTTTCTGCGCGGATTGTCTGGAATGAAGGAGCGTCCGCGCTCACCTCACATTTATATCTGTCCTCACTAGATATATCTGTTTTCGCCAGAACTAGTACGTTCATGTTTGATTGCTTCTTCTGTAATAAATAATAAATTCACGCAAACATACAGTGAAAATAATATATTATCTACTATACAATATTGGGCAACTACAATCTTCTCTTCATACAATGACGGGCAACTAGCGACTAGTAGAGAGAGAGAGAGAGAGAGAGAGAGAGAGAGAGAGAGAGAGAGGTAAATTAAAATTCCCAAACTTTCATCACTAAAGATACACTTACGTCTACATGGACCCCAGGCAGATAGTAAGTTTGTGAAGGAGGTGTGTCCGACGGAATATATCTGCAAAAAAGGCCAAAAAAAGCAGCTAAGAGGATGTCCAGCGGAGTACACATTGGCTACGAGCTCTTAACGTCAAACTTGAACATTTGTGTCCTGAACTTGTGTCTGAAGGAGATATTTCAAGACGGGACTTCAAGATGGGTCAGTTGGTTAGGTATAGCAGCAAAGCGGCCTAAACGCCGTTCGGTAAAATGTCTATCTAATAACTTTTGTCCAATTTGTAGAACTCGTCGCGATTTGGTTAGTCATTAGTGATCAGTCCTGTTAGACCACAGCTCACTTTAGTGGCAGGACATTTTATCTAACGCTAGTGATCAGCTTGCACAGATAGTATTTAAGTGCCTCTAGTTTTGCGACACATAATGTTATAATGGCATCATTTATAGCTAAATACAAAGCTTCTCTCAAGTGTTTACCGGATATATGTTTGTTCGCAATCGCGGAATAAATAACTATTTTCTTATTAGAACGTTTATTTCGAGGATGCAACACACTGAAAAATGTATTTTGGTCTATATAATAATATAATATTTTATCAACTCATAGGTGTGCTTTCTGGATTTCATAGAGTTTTAAGCAGGGCAAACATTTTCTGCCTTCATCGTCCAAAAGAACCACACATGCTCTCAGTAGAATCGAATAAATACTTTTAAGGAAACTTTTTTTAATTAAGACAACAAAAATATAAATTAATAAATGTCCTTCAGGTTAATATCAGATTGAAGAACACCCATAATCTTCCATCTGTGTATATATATATATATATAGACTAAGTCCAATTGCCTTCTTTTCACATAAGCTTTGTTAAAACGTGACACGTAAATTATTGCGAAAAAAAAAACGGAGTATATCATTTCTATATTCTTATTACATGAAGTCATAAGTATAGTGTAAGATGCTGTGATATTACTCCATAAAACGATACTTCAGTAATCATTATTTTAGGCGCTGTTGAACACTATAGCGTTATAACGTAGTAATATAGGAATATAAAAATAGTATTAGTGCGTCCCTTAACAGATAAAAAACGAAAAGTTTCAAATTATTCTTCCAAGTCTTCCCTTCCAAATTCCTCCGTGACTTTTGGTTCTTTATATATATATATATATATATATATATCGGATCTAAAACAGTAACTTTGTCTATCTGCACCACCAAGAAACAACAGCTTACTAACAAGCGAAGCTCAATTACTTTCATATATACAATGGGTATAATAACACCATATCGACTACTTGATTTCTAGTAATTACGGAGTTTTGCTTGATTTGGTCGATCTTATTGATTACAAATCATAACTTTCATGCTAAATCTACGCTTAAATAAAACCAAGTTTCATAACATGTCCTGCGATGTATTTATTTGACGGTCCACCTGAACCTGGGGACTGTAGAGTATCGGAAGGGCACGTCTTACATATATTATATATTCGTAGAATTAACCGCGGACCTTATTTGTAGTTTTTACGTCCTTTACGTCCTCAAGCCGCTTGTTAGATATCGTTGGATTTTTCTTTAACAAACTTAAGAAGAAGAGTGGGAGCAATATGCGATAGTATCGATTTGGCCGGGCTTAAATTTGAGCCAGCGATGGCCAGGTGATGCTCGTAGTTACCATAGCAAAGGACTCGAGGACAGACATATTAGCCACCCAGATAATGCTGCCCCCTAAAGTTTGTACGTTAATTATAGATAATCGAGCCACCACTGATATAACCGTTAATGTCAATATATTACTGCTTTTGTACCGTGGTGCTGATAGAATTTTTCTGCATGAATGAATTGTTGTGGGCAAAATGAGAGCTGGCGAAACACAAACTAGGATAGTGTTCTGAAGTACACATTATCCACATGATATCATGGGACAGCCTATCGAGTACCATTCAAGTACCCGGGATGATTTATTAGAACGCCTATGTCGCTCTTGACGTGTATCTTGCTGCACGGACAGAAATTGGTCATCCTGTTCAGGTCGACAAATATACATACATTTTACTTTATCTTCTTACATAGGTGCTTATTTTTGTTTCTACATATACTATGCTTTTTTGCTTACGTTTTCATTACCTGAAAAACTCTCTGTTACCCTTGTACCATTTAACGGAATACAGTTGGTCGTTTTCGAGATCAAACGAACAGTTTAATCTAGCCGAGTCTCCCAGAATAACCCCACTGGGGAGGTCAACTCGAACCAGCCGCAATCCCTGCACGCAAGCTGAAACAGCACCAAAGCAGGAAAAACCATCAAACATTGTTAGATTAACAAAATGATACATTATCATATTTGTTTTCGAAGACAAAAGGGGCCATTGTCTTACTCAACGGATCCAAGTGTACGTACATGATAAACGATTATTCTTACTAAAACTACGTGTGTGTAAACTTATGATGTTCTATGGCACAAGGCTGCGCGCTGTTAGTGTTAACTTCCAGCAAAAAAAGTAAGTGTCAATTTGCTTTCAGTAAGGTGATTCTCGTGGATAGGCTGTAAATTCTGTGAATCGTGTCCGCTTAAATCAGTCAAGGGTCATATGTCCATTAAGAGAAGATGCGCTACTTTTCAGGTGGTGCTATATGCGCACTGAATTAAAGTTACAATCATATGGACTATTTTTATATATATATATAGATAGGAATTGTTTCGTTATTGTAAAGAAAGTTCTACCTTTGTCGAGAGCTACAAAGAGCTATCGTTCCAAGCTAACATCAGGGAATACTCGAAGGAATATCATAGTGTTCTTACAGTAGACTGTTCGATTCAGTTTTACCGTATGTTGACGAATATCAATACGTGCCTTTTGACGCATTTTTCTAATATTCGCTAAAGCTTCACGTATTTCCTGGATACAATCATCCCATTCCATGCCAACTACTTACGCAATTGCAATTGCTTGAAATAGCTCTTCAGCATTACGATTAGCTACGAATAAAAGGTCAGTTGCGCCCCGTACCGCTCACTAGCTTCCCCATCAAACCCACCGTTTCGCTAGCCCATAGACAAACCGGCTGGTTCCTCATCCAATACGTGTATATCCATACATCTAATCTGTGTCGCACCTATACATTGCAGGACCCCATACAGGTGACCATGGAATGCCCAGCGTATCCAGTTTCTAAATAAATTGCGCGTATATTTCTTGAATATCTTTGAATCTCCGTTTCCCTTTGTTCTGTGGGTAATTCTTTCACGATCACCAAGCCGGTCCTACCACACAGGGTTTGCTCCGTTATCTAAAGACCTCTCTGTACGCTCACTGCGGCCTCGACGCTCAGTTTCATGATTGTCGCCAGCGGCATAGGCTGCCAAGCAGTGGCTGTCATATTTCGAACAATGGGTATTTCCTCCCGAAGCATGTCGTACCCCGCAAAGTTTTTCAGTGCTCTGTATATGTATTTTGCGCCATAACTATCTTCGCGGCGTTAGCAGCACTACCGGCACAACCATGCGGACAGCCACTGCCCGCGATCGCTGACAACTTCCATTGCATTGGTTGGCGAATTTAGTCGTAGGATAGGCCTGTGCTCGAGCATTTGGCAGGCCTCGCTCTACTCCTAGTGAGGCTTACTACCTTTTATATTCTTAGGTAGATGCCGGTCGTCGGTCGTAGGACGCCTTTGCCGGCGAGTAAAATGGCTCGATGGATGGAACGACGGGATGGGTAAGGCAGGATTCCTTCAGTGGAATCGATAACAAAGGTGTGTGTGCCGACGAACGGCCGGTATACGCCTTCACTAGTAGTGTAGACTAGGAAGAGGAGTATGGACTACGTCACGATCTAGCGATGGCAAGAGGTTCGTAGCGAGCTATGGTCGTTCTAGGTAGATGCCTGGCGAAGGAAGGCAACAGGCTACACAAGGTTCGTGCATGCATGCAACCAACCAACCAACCAACCAACGAATTATACCTCTATAGTGCCTCAAAGCGCGCTCCACCTCAGTAGATAATCATCTATATCGGCCGCGGCTAGGGTGTAGACAGGCCGTCTAGTGATGTGTATTGGTGAGTCTTTGCAGGAGTTTCTTTGAGGACTTGGAGCTCTCGGCTTCTGAAGCATGAGATAAGCCTGAAGAGAAAGGAAAAGGTAGGTAGGATCGGTGAGTTGTTAAGTCAGTTTGTTAGTCGTTCGGCGAGGTCCCTTTCTGTACTCGTCATCGTATGCGGCTAGATTGATCAAAGCACACGGCAAAATGCTCAGGCAAAGCGTGCTGTTGGCAAAATATTGTGGCGGGTTCGATCTCACGCTCCAATTCGAGTCTTATACAAGCAGATAGAGAACGGCAAGCATACTTCGCAGCGCAGCCCATAGGGCTCCACCTACTGCGCCCCCGAGATCTGTGTTTACCTCGCTTCGATGGAAGGATCACCAAGAGACGACTATATGACGCGCGTAGTAGAAATGGCGATTGAATTCGTTTTACGGTAATTATACATCCTGCTATATTTGGAATCAGGCAATAAATATTCGAAATATAAACGCACTGTATTCTGTGTATTTTATAATTCCTAATACAAAATCAACATTACGATTTAATTCTAACCGTCTCAAATATGCCAATGTTTTTCATACACCACACGAAATCCTTTATGTTCTATTTCTAGTGCTGTTTAATTATGGCGTATATCTGCTACAGTTGAAGAGTTGCCCAACTTCTTTAAGTGCAGTTATGTGTAAGCATTAAATATGTGTCACGTGTTAAGTTGCAAACTGGTAAAGTTAATAGCAATATTGTCACGAATTATAGGCTAACTGAAAGAGCGTGATCCCCAAGATTCATAGTCAAACAAACCGTCTCCTATGCTCTAGTTTTTATATCTATAAGGTATGAATAAACTTATTATTATATAATAATAAAAATGGTGGTAATAATAAAAAAATATTATGAACTAATTATAGGGTGTATTCAGTTTCGCAAAATTACAAAAACAAGCGACAGTTCCTCCCCTTAATCCCACTGCATCGTTTCATATTAATAATTTCATTATCTTCAGTCGTTGAGCATTTCGTCCTCATGTAGCACAACTATGCAATGCCCACTAACTATTTTCTGTTACGCGACCATATTTTCAGCGTTAATCTCCTTTCACCCGTTCTACCCACCTACCATCTTTATGTTCCTTTGTACCTTCACATCGTCACGTTATATTGATTTTTCCCGTTATACTCACACTCGCAGACGCACTACTAGGTTAATGGATACAAGAACATATGCGGGAGAACTTTTCTGTTTGTCCTAACACGTAAGTGTTCACATTCGCGTTCCCCCGGAGCCTCTTAGCGTAGTGGTGACAATATGCATTCGCGAGCAGCGCAGAAACGCATCATTAGGACTTTGGTCCGGCAGCTAGCATGGACGCAGGCTGTGGCTGTCTAATTATGCTAGGGTCAAAAACTATAATTGGACTTATTAGACCTATATCTATGACTTACGACCAAACAGTTCAGTAATGCTGACCTCCTCGACTAACGCATCTCACTTCCGACCTATCGAAACACGTATCCGCGAGATCACGCATCACCAAATGTCCAACGGCTTGCGGTATCCAGGCCTGCTAGGTAACTCAGATTTAGACGACTGAGCGGCCAATTAGTCCGACAACTGTGATATCGCGATACTCTCCTCCGATACCATCACCGAGCTGCGTGATCGAAGTGCAGAAGATAGACTGAGACTAGGGAGCAGTTGATTCATATGGCGTGAGACGCTTGATAGCTAAGCCATGAAGGTTCTATCATGATAGCGGCAGCGCGGAGCTGTCGCCCCTTTTAACTTCATGGGCTGCATGGCATATCCATATAGAATCAAGGTGACTGGGATCGTCGCACGCTGAGGTACACATAGGGTGTCCACGGATCGTTAAATGTCACAAATACGTCGGACATGCCACGGGAACTACAAAGCGTCAACTGCGGTAGCGAGCAGAGATCTTTCCATAAGCTGATTTGGGCACCTTGATAGTTATTTTATGGACATAATTGATATTGGTGCTATTACGAAAATTGTGGCCGTGTCGACTGCTGGCAATGCTAATGAAGATGTTTCATTTGGGCCCTATATGTTATTTGGAAAGCGCTCTCTTTGAATAATATAAGCAGATAGCGTGCCTGGCGGTTGCTTTGGTGGTGCCCGCTATATAGCGCACATAATTGATTGACATAATTGAATAGCGTGAATCTAATGAGCCACATATATGTAGTTAAGAAATATTAGCATAGCTAACTAAAGGACACATGGCTTCAACAATACTATGTGTTGAAAAATGTATGTCTTTGATTTCACCCTTTAGGTCATCAGCTAATAACCACAGACCCAACTCTATTTTCAGGTAAAGACCTGATCGAAGTAGGGATAACATCGATCGGAAATATTACTTTATGCTCTGGCGTATATTATAAAACTCGCCTTTGAGTGACAGGTTGCTCCTAAGTGAACTTTAAACAATGATCAGCATTCATGTGTTGTCCACCATACCTAGTAGATTTCTACTCTACAAATCTAGGTTTCTAGGCCGTCTATACGCTTCTGTTTTCGTTAGAACCTCACTCGGGCGCTGACTATTCTAAACCTATATATAGACTCGAATTATTTACGTCTGTCGTTGCTCGGAAACATCCGCCGCCATCTGCGCAGCATAACACGACGTACAGCATCATTCAAGAGTATAAACATGCATACGACGAATTGGTTAATAACAGAATTTGAAAATCTTTCCCTCCTCTAAGCATCTCGTCTCGATCATCTCCCGATCGCACTTTGGGGTGTCTCGTCAACGACGGCCCGAGCAAGCCCTATAACACATTTTCACAGGCGCCCCCTATGATTCTAATTTCTATCACCCTGTCGTTGCGTGCACGAAGCACGTCGACAAGTTTTTAATGACAACAGCAACGATGCTGAAAAGCACCCACTTAGCACCCAGCGTAGCTTTCATTTCGTCAAGTGCGGTACGCGGCTGCTTTGCGCTTCTCCTGTCACCTCGTGTATAAATGCGCGTCGCGGGAACGACAGGATGATCGTTTCTATACGGATCGGACGGAGTGCTAGTAGCGGAGTTAGAGTTTTGTGTAACGGATTTCCAAGCCGAGCGCTTCAAGCACAAGTTAACTTTTGGCGCCGTTCGCCGTTAAGAGCGTCGATGATAAATATCGTCGATGATGGGAGTTAGGCTTGCGGGTGCTGGTAACCGAATTGGATGAGAACTGCTTTCGATGTTCG